AGGACCTGAATACAAGCATGGAAACTGGAAAAAAGATAATGAATAAGAATCATATAGATTATGAGAGATGGGTAAATAGCTCCATAGTACAGTTTGCCTAGCATCTATGAGGCCTTGGGTTTAAACCCAACTGAAAAAAAAATTCACGCAGAGTTTTTAGTTCAGAGACACAGGACCTACAAGTTTTGGGGTCATATGCATGTTAGATAGGTGCTTTACTACTGAGCTACCCCCCTCCCCCCAGTCCCAGAATGCAGAATGTTTTAACTTTTTTCTATATGTTTCTCCTTTCTTCCTTGCCTGAAGTGTCTCAGTTCTTTTTGTTTTGTTGGCTGTGGGGCTTGAACTCTGGGCCTGGGTACAGTCCCTCAGCTCTTCAGCTCAAGGCTAGCACTTGAACCATAGCAGCACTTCCGGTTATCTGGTGGTTTATAAGGGATAAGAGTCTTATAGATTTTCCTGCCCGGGCTGGCTTTGAACCTTGATCCTTAGATCTCAGCCTCCTTAGTAGCTAGGATTACAGGCGTGAGCAACCAGCGCCCAGCAGTCTCCGTTCTTAAAGATATCAATATAATCACCTCAATATAATCAATATAATCTATATAATCACCTCACACAATCTTGCGATAGCAACACTATCACCAACAATATATACCTAGAAATAGTTTAAGAGGCTTGTTTGGTGGTTGTTTTGTTTTTGCCATTGGTGGGGTTTGAACTCAGACGCTCATATTGCTGTTTGCTTGCCTGTCTGGTGCTCTTCCACTTAAGCCAGACCTCCATTCTGATTTTTTGCTGGCAATTTTGGAGACAGACTCTCTTGGGTTTTTCTGCCTGAGCTGGCTTTGAACCACATTCCTTCTGATCTTAGTGATCTGGATTATAGCTGTGAGCCAGCCACCAGTGTCTGGCTTAAGGGTTTTTGTTTTGTTTTGCTTTTGGTACTTTCTCTCAGGAGAATATATCAATAAAGATCTACGATCAAAACTGTCAGGTTAAAAAACCATGTGAAACTCCTGACTGCAAGTTCTTATTACTGGCCGACAGTGGCTCATGCCTGTCATCCTAGCTACTCAGGAGGCTGAGATCTGAGGATTGCGATTCAAAGCCAGCCTGGGCAGGAAAGTCCGTGAAACTCTTATCTCCAATAAACCACCAAAAAACTGGAAGTGGTGCTGTAGCTCAAGTGGTAAAGCACTAGCCTTGAGCTGAAGAGCTGAGGGACAGTGCTTAGGCCCAGAGTCCAAGCCCCACGAAGTTCTTATTATCAATTCAACAACACACTTCAGTTTTGAGTATAAAAATTTTTTTTGGTTTGGGTTTATTTTCTTGTTGCTGGAGATTGAATTCAGAACTTTGAACATGCTAAGCACATGCTTTACCTACTAAATTATAGGTATACATTCTTCCAGAATTTATTTCTTATTCAAGGTTGATTGGGATCATTTTAAAGAAATTAATACTTTAAACAAAAAGAATGGAACATTTCTTCAAAGAAGATAAACAAGTGGCTCAAGGCTTCAGGTGAAACATGACTATATAGAACTTTTGTTTTTCCTAACTTTCTTGCTTCTTTTTTGAATATAGGAACAAAAGTATATTATGCAAATAAATCAGCTAGAAGGAAGATTCTATCAAAAAGCCAGAGAAATTAGTATGATTCAGACAGAGCTGAAAACAATAAAACATTTCCAGAAGAGAAAAATCCAAGTGGAGAAAGAATTAGAGGATGTAAGTTCCTTCCTTCCCTTTCCTCCACTCCTTTCATTCCTTTTTTCCTTTCCTTCTTTCCTCCCAATCCTTTATTTATTTATTTTGGTCGTGGGGCTTGAACTCTGGGTTTGGACGCTGTCCCTCAGCTCCTCAGCTCAAGGCAAGCGCTCTACCACTTGGGCTACAGCACAGCTTCTGGTTTTCTAGTGGTTTATTGGAGATAGTAGTCTCACAGACTTTCCCACCCTGGCTGGCTTTGAACCTCGATCCTCAGATCTCAGCCTCCTGAGTAGCTAGGATTACAGGCGTGAGCCACCAGCGCCTGGCTCCCAATCTTTTACTGTCTTTTTTTTTCTCTTTTCTTTCTTAAATAAGACATTAGAGTTGACTACACAAAAACTCTTCACATTCCTGTGAAACATCAAGGAGCTCTGACATTTTAGAGATCACGAGAGAAAAAGAGGAAGCTGAAACATTGCCAAATCTTAAGTCACCATTGTTCATCAGCAGTTACATATTTTTATTGACTGTAATAAGAAGTGAACTACCACTTCTTAGAAAACAATGGGCTGGGAGGGGGATAGCATAGTGCCAAAGGAAAATATATGTTTAGCCTGACGAATAATTATACCAAAAAAGTCAGAAGGCTCTGGGTAGAAGTGAGTAGGGTGAGGAATATCAAATACTTTCAGCAAGTTTCTCTGATGTACTTATATTCTTTCTCTTACTTTCCATTCCTTCAACCCAGAATATAGTTTCATTGCATTAATTAAAATACAGTAGCTGTTAGATTTTTACTTTTGCTAGAAAACCACACAGACATCCAGGTACAGAGAACAAAGAAAGGTTTATTGCCAGAAAAGGGGCCCCACAAGAACCATTCTCACAAGGGAGAAGTGAGAAGAAGCACCATCTATTGCCTGAGGTGACCTATATAACCTAGGATGTTTAGGAGGGGCCAGAAGGGGCTAAAAGGTGGAGACACTGGTATGGATGTGTGGGACAGGGGCTTCATCATGGCAGACTAGGATTTATGGCTGCTATCCAAATAGTAGATAAGAGGCCATGAAGCTACCCAGACCTGAAGGTCACTCTAAGGGGCTCTTGTTGCCTTTTATGGTAGTAGTTGCTCTAGAGATGTGCCATCCCAAGGTAAGGGGGGGTTGGAGGCTGATTATTTACTGCCTTTACTACATGGGCCTAGTGTTGCCTAGGAAGGGAGCATGCTAAGCTGTGGAAAGGGGAAAGAGTATACTAGGCTATGGGAAGGGAGCTCATTTTGCTAACAACAGTGACATAGGAAACTGCCACCAGCAAGTTACTTAACCTTTCTTCCTGTAACTTGCTTAGTTCCCTCATCTTTAAAATGGGGATCACAAAGGCATTCAGGGTTGTTATAGCATTAAATCAAATAGTATCTGTAAAGTACTTAGTGCATGACATGTGGTGAGGATTATATAAAGTGATGTGCTGCTGTATGAAATTAAAAGTCCTGATTTATAGCACTTGTGATTGTCATGGTATATAGCCAGGGATACAGTTGTCTGAATGCTTAATAGGAGATGGAGCATTCGCTTCCATGGTGATATACTCACCTGGTTGTCCTGATGTGCTGGTGATTATGGGAGGCAGAAGCTTCTTCCCATATAGTCCCCTCTGTAAACTTACTCATGTACTCACTCATGACTTGGTGGATAACATTGCCCAGAGTGAGCAATCCTAGGGAGAGAGCCAGGCAGAAATTATCCCTTTATTCCCATCCCCAATAGTGCTGAGGATAAGACCTTTTCCACTCCTGTTTAGACTTTATTTTGTGTTATGTGTATCTTGCACAGAAAGATTTTTTTTTTTATCAGTGGGTGAAATTTTTTTTTTAAGTTCTCTTTCCCTCCACACCCAGCACCCCTGTCCTTGCCATGTTTTGTTATCAGCAATCATTCTGAACAGTGTCTAATTTATGTTTAGAGGCAAAGGGCAGTTTTTGGACTTTGCAAGTTTGTTTTTAAATTACAAATAAAAAGAACTTTTAACACAAAACAAGTGCAATGGTATATGCCTGTATTACCAGTACTTGGGAGATGAGGAAGGAGGAAGACGAGTTTTAGGCTAGCCTGGATTACATAGTGAATACCAGGACAGCCTGAGCTATATAGTGAGACCTAATGCCAAAGAATCCAAAATGGGGGGGGATCACCCCTTTTCTACTGTACTGTAGCTTTTATGCTACTTACCTATACTACCTTGACATCTGGCCAACAAGATTGTGGACTTCTGCAGGTGTTCCACCATTTAAGCCATGCTTCTGGTTCTTTCTTTTTGCTTTCATCATCATCATCATCATTATTATTATTAGGGTCCAGTCGTGGGGCCTGGGCGCTGTCCCTCAGTTCTTCAGCTCAAGGCTAGTGCTCTACCACTTAAGCCACAGCGCCACTTCCGGCTTTTTTCTTTTTTTGCTTATGTGGTGCTGAGGAATCGAACCCAGGGCCTCATGCATGGAAGGCAAGCGCTCTACCATTGCTACCTTCCCAGCTCCATGCTTTCATTATTTTTAAAACTGGGTGTTGGTTTGTGCCGTGGCTGGTCTATACGTTGGTCTTTCTATACGTTTCTCCACTACCTGGTCTTGAAAACTTTATTCTCGGGCTGGCCTCAAATTGCGATCCTCCCCATCTCCACCTACATAGTAGCTAAAATTACAGACGTTAGGAACAGCGCCTATCCTTGGTTGTAAATTCCTTGCGTCTCGAATTTTGTATTCATTGAATTATAAAATACACGTGCGGCATCATTTATTCAACCTTTAGTAAGGACTCAATGAAGAGCCTCCGCACTCACCTCATTAAACCTGGATTGGGGTAGCGCGTGCGCACTCGTTCTCCGCGCTCAGCCTGGGCGGGGCGTCCCGCCGCCGTGACGTCACAGCCCTGCGCCACTCCACGCCGAGGCCACCACTCCACGGTGGGGCCGCGGCCGTTTGGCGGCTCGAGACTCCGAGATGGCAGAGCAAGTTTCTCCGGGAAAGTCGGCGGGCCGGGTGTGCACGTTCCTCTTCAAAAAGCCCAAGCGGAAAGGCATTGCGGGCCGCAGGAAGCGTCCGTCGTGCGGCCCGGAGTCTGGGGACAGCGACAGCAGTAGCGACGAAAGCAGCACTGTGGTCCGACCCGAGAAGAAGCGGGCAGTTCCCAACCCCATGGTCCAGAAGACGCGCGGCGTCGGCAAACCGAAGGCGTCCGACGGCCGCCCGAGCGGGGACAGGGACCCGGGGGAGGAGGAGGAGGAGGAGGAAGAGGAGAGTGTAAGTCTGGCCGTGGTCTACAAGTCCACCCGCTCTGCGAAGCCCGCGGGGCCTGAGGATATGGGGGCGACCGCCGTGTACCAGCTGGACACAGACAAGGAGCGAGATGCACAGGCCATCTTCGAGCGCAGCCAGAAGATCCAGGAAGAGCTGAAGGGCAAGGAGGATGACAAGATCTACCGAGGAATCAATAACTACCAGAAATACATAAAGCCCAAAGACACATCCATGGGCAACGCATCCTCCGGGATGGTCAGGAAGGGCCCCATCCGAGCGCCCGAGCACCTGCGTGCCACAGTGCGCTGGGATTACCAGCCGGACATCTGTAAGGACTACAAGGAGACTGGCTTCTGCGGCTTTGGAGACAGCTGCAAATTCCTCCACGACCGTTCAGATTACAAACACGGGTGGCAGATCGAGCGTGAGCTTGATGAGGGTCGCTATGGTGTCTGTGAGGAGGAAAACTACGAAGTAGGAAGCGATGATGACGAAATACCATTCAAGTGTTTCATCTGTCGTCAAACCTACCAAAACCCAGTTGTCACCAAGTGCAAGCATTATTTCTGTGAGAGCTGTGCATTGCAGCATTTCCGCACCAGTCCGCGCTGTTATGTCTGTGACCAGCAGACCAGCGGTGTCTTCAATCCTGCCAAAGAACTGATTGCTAAACTGAGGAAGCATAGAGCTGCAGCAGAGTGTGGTGCTTGCAGTATTGCAGAGGACCCCGATGGAGTTTAATTCTCATGGCTTGGGTTTTTCATAAATTTCCCTTTGAAATATTTTTCTTCTGGTCTTCAAAAGCTCCCCAAAACAACCGTAACCGAAGGAATGGGTTTTACTTTCTAGAAGGAATATCAAGTTTGTTTTATATGAATAAGCTGCAGATTGAATCAATACAGTCAACTTTTCAGGAACTCTCAACATGTCATAGTTATACATTCAAATCAAAATGAGTTTAGTACATACTCTGGTGAGCAGTGTGTCATTTTTCCGCTTGAAAGAACAGTGTTGCCGCCTAGTGGTTAAATAGACTTCAGACCTTCCAAAGAGCTGTTAATAAACACTTTAGAAATTCAGAAGTTACTAGTTTATGGGGAAAAATAAGGCGGTTAATTTGGAATTTCAAACAGAGGAAACGGGGCAGTGTCAGGGGCCAGTGTACTTAAAATTGGAAGATAGACGTTAAGGAAAAAAAGTTTACTGTATGCACGATTCATTTTGCAATTTGGAAAGAGACTAGTTACACTTAAATTGTAAGTTATTCAAGGCATATGTTTAAAAAAAAAAGCTGATATGTGGTGCACACCTATAATCCCAGCTGCTGAAGCAAGAGGATCCATAGTTCCAGGTAAGCCTGGGCAACACTGTCTACCTGATTAACAGAATACGTACTGGTAGGTTATTTTTTTAGGTGCTTGTTTTAGTTCTTTGACAAAGTGGTAATGTGTATTTCATCAACTTTAACAGATTAAGAAACAAAGATGCCAGGTGTCTGTGGCTCATGCATGTAATTCTATCTACTCAGGAGGGCCAAGATGGTGAGTCAAAAAGTTTAGGGACAGCTCCCAGGCCCTGGTGCTGAGTTCAAGTACACACAAAAGAAAGGAAAGGAAAATAACCCTTCTGAGCTGCGAATGTGGCTTAGTGGCTTAGAGTGCTTGCCTAGCATGAATGAAGCTCTGGGTTCAATTCCTCAGTACCACATACCAGAAAAAGCTGCAAGTGGTGCTGTGGCTCAAGTAGTAGAAAGCAAGCCTTGAGCAAAAAAAGCTCAGGGAAAGAGCTCAGGCCCTGACTTTAAATAACCCTGCTACTCACAGTTACATAACCTGAAGGTAGCAGTAACTTGTTAAAATTTTGGTATGTAGTGTTCTGCTTTGTAGAAATATAACTTGTCTATGTGCTGTTTTTGCAAAAGTCATGTACAAATTGTTACTCTGATGTTTTACTTACTATTTTAACATTTTTCAGTGCCATTAAATATTTTTGTAAACTCTTGGAAAAAATAAGGAATTACGTTGAATAGATATAGCATAACTTATTAATGGTCCTTTGCTGTTACACTGTAATAAATGATGAACATCTAAGGAATGAGAAAATATATATTTTCTTTTTTTTGGCTGGTCCTGGGGATGAACTCAGGGCCTGGGTTCTGTCCCTGAGCCTCTCTATGCTCAAGGATAATGCTCCACCACTTGAGCCACAATGCCACTTCCTGCTTTTTCTGAGTAGTTTATTGGAGGTAATAGTCTCACACATTTTGCTGCCTGGACTGGCATTGAACTGTGATCCTCAGATCTTAGGATTACAAGCATGAGCCACTGGTGGTCTGGGGCATGGTCTCAGGGCCTAGACCCTGCCTTAGCTCTTTTTTTTTTCCCTCAAAGTAAGAATCTCACAGATTTTTCCTTCCTGGGCTGGCTTTGAACCACTATCCTCACATCTCAGCCTCCCAAGAAGTTATGATTATAGGCATGAGGTATTTGTGTCTGGCTCTCCGGTAACTTCTTAGAAGTAGAATGTATGGGTTAAAGATTGTGAATGGTGTGCTTGCTGGTTTGTGCCAGTAGTACCAGATAGTAAGGTAGGATACTGAGCTTGAGTCCAGAAATTAAGGCATGTGGTGTGCTATGCTCATTGGGTGTCTGCACCCAATGACATTAAGGTATTGACCTGATCAGTGGGGATTACCATATTACAAGTATTGATTAGTGCTAGGATCATGCCTAAGAATACCTCTGCACTCCAGTCTGTACAATACATCCAGAACGCTGGGCGCCAGTGGCTCACGGCTGTAATCCTAGCTACTCAGGAGGCTGAGATGTGAGGATCGAGGTTCAAAGCCAGCCCGGGCAGGAAAGACGTGAGACTCCTATTTCCAATAAACCACTAGAAAACTGGAAGTGGCACTGTATCTCAAGTGGTAGAGTGCTTGCCTTGGCTAAAGAGCTGAGGGGCAGCGCCCAGGCCCAGAGTTCAAGTCCCATGACTGACAAAAAAAAATGTATATCTATCTATCTATCTATCTACAGATAACAAGAACCTGTTCATCTCTTTAGAAAAAAAAAAAGCAAAACATGAACTCATTTTCTTTTTTGTGTGTGTGTGCAGTGCTGGGGCTTGAACTCTGGGCCTGGGAGCTGTCCTTGAGCCTCTTTGTGCTCAAAGCTAGTGCTCTACCACTTGAGCCACAACACCACTTCTGGCTTTTTTTTTTATTTACTGGAGATAAGAGTCTCAGATTTTCCTACCTAGGCTGGCTTTGAACCGCAGTCCTCAGATCTCAGCCTCTTGAGTAGCCAGGATTACAGGTGTGAGCCACTGGCATCGGGCAAGACATGAACTTTTAACAATTGTGATGTGTATTATCTAATGGCATATTGTCTAATTGCATATGAAAGGTCCATTTCCATAGACCTCCAAGATGTTTTTGTAGAATTTTATGTTGACAATTAGTTTTGAAAGTCTTTGAAATTATCTGAAACTATTTAAGAAGAAAGAACATCTGAAAGAGGCCATATATAAAATGAGAATTTAATATGGTAGAATAGATTATAGGGGCTGGAGATACAGTTCAACTGGTACAGCACTAACAGTGAGCACACAATCTGAACAAGATTCCCTGAGTTCAAGCTCTGATATTGACAAAAATAAAAACATTTTAAGGAAAATTGTAAGTATATATTAAACATGATATTAATTATACTAAGTACTTTTCCTATATTATTTACTCTTATTTAAGTCTTTCCACTCCTATAGGAGATAAATACTATTATACTATTTTTTTTAATGGTACTGTCCTGTTTTTTTATGCCTGGCAACCTGAATCAACAGTCAAGTGACTTCTTGGAGTCAGACAGCCAGTGAGACAATCATCATTTAAGCTACTCTTTGTCTGATGGAAAGACCTGTACTGCCTTTTTTTCGACATGAATGGTAGATTAAGTATGTCTGTTTCCATCTTATTCTTGCCAGTAGAATATCATCACTTTAGTTCATATTTCCTTACCTAAAAGAATTTTATGTCTCTCTTATCCTGCATAGTTTTAGAGAATAGAAGTAGGGAGACCTATCCATTAAGGAGAAGCCTGTGTACTAATAAAATTTGAGTTAGTAATACATCTATCTCTAGGTATTTTTCCTCACAAAAGTGATTTTTGTGTGTGTCTGTGCTGGTCCTGGGTCTTGAACTGGGCCTGGATGCTGTCTTGTTGTTGTTGTTCTTTGTTTTTTAGTCAGTCGTAGGGCTTGAACTCCGTGCCTCTGCAACTGTCCCTGAGCTCTTCAGCTCAAGGCAACTGCTCTACCACTTGAGCCACAGGACCACTTCCGGTTTTCTGGTGGTTAATTGGAAATAAGAGTCTCATGGACTTACCTGCCTGGGTTAGCTTTGGACTGTGATCCTCAGATTTCAGCCTCCTGAGTAGCTAGGATTACAGGTATGAGCTACCAGCGCCCGGCTTGTCTCTAAATTTTTTTTTGTTCAACACTAGCACTATACCACTTGAGCCTTTTTGTAGTTCGAGATAAGAGTTCCATGACTTTCCTTCTGAGGCTTGCTTCAAATTATGGTCCTGAGTAGCTAGACATGAACTGGTACCCCACCAAGATGATTATATGAGGTGAGAGAATTGTATAGTCTGGCTCCTAAGGTTTTTCCAATTCTAAAATTTTATGATTTTGTAATTCCATACTTGTCTGAATGTGGAGAACTGTTATCAATGTATAAGAGTCTTAAATTTTCCCTACCTAGCACACATGAGGCCACAAGTACAATATGAAGTACCATTAAAAAAAAAAAAGCAAACAAAAAAAAATGTTGGGGAAACACCATCTCAGTCTTACAAGTCTGTAGAAGATGAGGGAAGTATGGGACTCAGAGGCAAGTAAATTGAAGTTTTCTATGTCTTTAGGATCAGGAATTAGTGTATAACAGGAAATGTTTCTTCATTAGGATTTTTCCAATTGATCATTTTTGTTTTTTTACTTTTAAATTTCAGCTGAAAGAAAGTTTAAGGAACATGGAGAAGAAACATCAGGAAACTCTCCGAAGACTGGAAGGCAGATTCTTTGAAGAAAAGGTATGGAATATTAGGAAATTTAAGAAAAGCTCACTAGAACAAAAGTATGTCTTCTAAGATGTATCAACATTTTATTTGGTCTTATTAGAACACAGCAAAAGCTGTTTGTCAGGGCATACATCTGCAGTTCTGGCATTCAGGATACTGAGGCAGGAGAACTATGAGTTGATGGCCAGTTTGGGATATGTAGTGAGACCTTCTCTTAAAAAAAATAAAAAAGCAGGCTGGGAAGATGATTCAGTGGTAGAGTGCTTGCCTCGCATGCATGAGGCTCTCAGTTCGATTCCTCAGCACCACATAAATAGAAAAAGCTGGAAGTGGCACTGTGGCTCAAGTGGTAGAACTCTTGCCTTGAGCTGAAGAGTTGAGGGACAGCACCCAGGTCCAAAATTCAGGCCCCATGACAAAAAAAAAAAGCAAAAAGCAAAAAACACAGCAAAATAAAAATAGGGAAAGCAGAACATCCTAGAGATCTCAATATTTAGTCCTTTATTTGCTGGCCACTTAGAGATTCCTTGTTTAGGGCTGGGAAGGTGGCTCAGTGGTAGAGTGCTTACCTTGCATGCATGAGGCCCTGAGTTCGATTACTCAGCACCACATAAGCAGGGGAAAAAAAAGATGGAAGTGGCGCTGTGGCTCAAGTGGTAGAGTGCTAGCCTTGAGCTGAAGAGCTCAGGGACAGCGCCCAGGCCCAGCGTTCAGGCCCACGACTGGACCCCCCCCAAAAAAAAAAGATTCCTTGTTTAATTTGTTAATTTTTAACTGATAAAAGCAAAAATTTTAAGTTGGGCACTGGTGGCTCATGCCTATAATCTTAACTACTCAGAAGGCTGAGATCTCAGGATTGTGGTTCCAAGTCAGCCCAGGCAAACCAATCCTTGAGATTCTTAGCTCCAATTACTGGCTAATATAAGTAAGCTAGAAGTGGAGATGTACTCTTTTTTTTTTTTTTTTAGGTCAGTTATGGGGCTTGGACTCTGGGCCTGGGCCCTATCCCTGAGCCTCTTTGTGCTCAAGGCTAGCACTCTACCGCTTCAGTTAGATCACCACTTCCCAAGTTTTGATCATATTTGAGCAAGAAGGAAGGAAGGTTCCAAATGTGTCTCTCTGTTTTATATGGAGGTCATAAAAACTTTCCCAGAAGATCCTAGTGGATTTCTTTTACCTTATTGTCCTGAACTATGTTTTAAAAGATGCTAGGAAACTGATTAGTGGAAGTTTGGATGTTGGGAAAGTTATTTTCTTTTTCCAGTCACCTAGTGGAATTTGAGATGGGAAAAGGAGGATGTGAATAATTGTTGGTTGGCAATATCTGCCTTTTACCATATTGGTACAGACTTCATGAATATGTTAGCTTGAGCCTCAGGGCTGCTATTAGATGGTAGTGGGCCTTCCAATAGGAAATAATTTACATAAAGCTCTTAGAACTATGTCGGGGACACAGGAAATTCTCAGTATGTTATGATTTGGCTTCTATACTGGATGCAGGGATGCATTAAATTAGGAACTTTTCTGTTTCATTTACCACAGAATCTTTGTTATTTTAAACAACTTGATATAGTAATAGTGTCCAATAGGCATTTACTGAATTGAATAAGTGACTGACTGTTAGAAATAGCTTGAGATGTTGGGATGTCACATAGGAATGAAGACACTAACTTGAACTCTGCAAGGCAAAGTTTACTTCTGCAGAAGGATGGCCCGGTGGTCAGCCAGAAACCTGGCAGGCAAGCACACAAAGCAGGCAGGCTGCTCCCTTTGTATCCCTAACCCAGCAACCCCCCCTTCCCCCCTGCACCCCTCCCCCCCACCTTCCATCTCCCTCCACCATTGACTGAGTTCAGGTTCACAATTTGCAAAAGGATGTGGCTTAATTAACAGGATGGAATTAAAATTTAAGGAGCTTCTAACAGGATTTCTTAAAGTGCTCAGAAAAAGGAGAATGTAAATAACAAAAGGGCCAAGCCACCTGGTCAAAAAAGCAGGAAGATTCAGAAAAAGAATTTTCTCAAGATTAACAGAAAGGAAGCAAACTACTTGAATAGAAAAGCTTTTCTCATAACTGTCAATCACATTGAATTTAGCAGAAATTCCCTCCAGTTCTGCCCTCCATTATGGGTATGGTTTCCTGGTTCCTCCATGTACATATCATGTTTGATGGGGAAATTGATACACCTAAGTTCTTGTGTTCAAGCTATCCTTTTTGCTGCCTTTTCTCAGTATTTTTAGAATTCTTTGCATCAGGTCAAATGGACCATTAGTATTTTATCTGACATTCTGAACTAATTACTTTCTGATGTATACATTTCTGGTACCAATCCTGGGGCTTGAATTTAGGGTCTGGGTGTTGTCCCTGAACTTTTTTCCTTAACACTGCTCTCTACCAGTTGAGCCTCAGCCCCGCTTCAGGCTTTTTGGTGGTTAAGAAATAGGAGCCTTGGGCTGGGAAGGTGGCTCAGTGGTAGAGCGCTTGCCTTGCATGCTTGAGGCCCTGGGTTCGATTCCCCAGCACCACATAAGCAAAAAGAAAAAAGCCAGAAGTGGCGCTGTGGCTCAAGTGGTAGAGCGCTAGCCTCGAGCTGAAGAGCTGAGGGACAGTGCTCAGGCCCAGAGTTCAGGCCCCACGACCGGACCCCCACCCCCAAGAAAAAAATGAAATAGTTGCCTCATGGACCTTTCTGCCTGGGTTGACTTTGAACAGTAATCTTCAGATCTCAACCATCTGAATAGCTAGGAGTACAGGCATGAGCCACCAGTGCCCAGCTACAATTTGTTTTAAAAAATATAATTTTGTATTTAATAACCCTGTTTTATTTTCTAGCACCGTCTAGAAAAAGAGGCTGAAAAGAAGATAGTAATGCTGGCAGAGAGAGCCCACCATGAAGCTGTGGTGTAAGCTGTTGCCTCCTGTTTTAGATAATTTCTTTTAATTGGTCTGTTTTCTCCTTATCTTCCTGCTTCTTTCCTGGCAAGCTTTCTTCTAATGTTTGGCTTACTCTTACTCCCTGTTTCTTTCTCTTTGTATACCCTACTCATTATGTCTACCTCTCTAGTAAGTAGCATGACATGTTAGAACTTAGGCTTTGGAAATTAGGCTCATTTTCAACATGCATCTTAATTGACCAATTAATTATTAACTTACTTGATAGTTACTTCATGTGAAAATTGGCTATAGCTGGCTGGGCATGGTGGTACATGGCTGTAATCCTAACACTTGGGAAGCTAAAGGAAAAGGATCACAAGTTCTAGGCAAGCCTGGCTAGTGAGACCCTGTCTCAGAAAAAAGTAAAAATAAAAGTTGAAAAATTCTGAAAGTAGGGCCATAATATTAACTTTGCAGGATTTTCATGAGGTATATTAGTAAAAGTAACACTAAAGTGTATTATACTAACAAATGAACTCTCAGGTTCAATGACTTTTCTCTTGCTTATGTAACAGTTCCATATGGGAATGGCAGTTTTCTTTTGGTGGTGATTTAGGAACCTGAACTGTTTCTATCTTTTACCTCTACCACCTGTAGTTCTTCAAGTTCTTCAATTAAGTGGATAGAATAATGCGTGAAGCTCATACCTGGAAGCTACATAGCACTTTTGTCACTATGTTGCCCAAGGCACTTGAGATCATTTTGCTTCAGCTTTTCAAGTGCTGGAATTTTATGCATGTGTCATCACTTTTCACTTTACCATAAGATAAGAATTTAGTCACAAGAATACCCACAGTAAGTTACATGGGTAGTGGTCATGCACATGTGTAAGTATTGCTAGGGATCAAACCTAGAGCCTTGCATATATAAACAATCATTTTGTCACTGAGCTACATACCCAGCCCAGTGGTGGCTATTAATGTTGAAGCAATCATTGTTGTAATTTGGTAATATCTTAAACTTAGGCCTATGTTTTAGATCCTTATATTTGCTTATTTCAGACAACTGAATGCTGCTGGAAGGAATGTTTTTAAAGAGAATGTTTATCTCCAGAAAGCTCTTTCATACCACCTAAAGGAAGCTGATGCTCTACAAAAAGACTCCCAGAAGTTGCAAGAGAGTCATACTATCCTTTTACATCAAAAGGTACCCATTTTCATTTGGGTTTTGTTTCCTATTGTTTTGTTTAGGAATTGGATTGGTAAATACCAAGGATTGAGTATAATAATAATACATATGGACATAAGAGTATTCTTTATCTAATTGATGACTTGAAAAGATTATCGGGCTGGGAAAGTGGCTCAGTGGTAGAGTGCTTGCCTTGCATGCGTGAGGACCTGGGTTTGATTCCTCAGCACCACATGAGCAAAAAGAAAAAAGCCAGAAGTGGCGCTGTGGCTCAAGTGGTAGAGCGCTAGCCTTGAGCTGAAGAGCTGAGGGACAGCGCCCAGGCCCAGAGTTCAGGCCCCACGACCGGACCAAAAAAAAAAAAAAAAAGAAAAGATTAATTATCAAATGACTTATAAGACACATAGGCTTGGGCTGGGAATGTGGCTTATTGGTAGAGTGCTTGCCTAGCATGCATGAAACCCTCCTCAGTACCACATAAATAAAAAAAGCCAGAAGTGGTGCTGTGGCTCAAGTGGTAAAGTGCTAGCCTTGAGCAAAAGAAGCTCAGGGATAGTGCCCAGAGCATGAATTCAAGCCCCAGGACTGGCGGAAAAAAAAAAAAAAGGACACATAGGCTTAACTTTATATAGAATGAACCAGAAATACAAACATGATTCATATCCTCTGTTACCTTAGAATACTTGTTTTGCTTTGCCTCTTGTTGATCACTTTGGAATTGGTTTGGCTGTGAGGAAACCCTTTTGTGGTGATACCACATAAGGGCTTATTTCTTCTCCTAAAAGAAGTCTGTAGGTAATCAATCCAGAGCAGGAAAGTTCATGTCACAAAATCAAGAAATAGCTTCTTTAGCTCTACTCTTCCATATGTGACCTGCACCCTCAGAGTTGCTTTATGGCCAACATGGCTATTGGAGCTGTACTCCAAACAACAGAAAGGAAGGGTAAGAAGAGGTCTTCTTTAGAGGTCTTCCTGGGAATCCTACACATATTTCTATCTATAGCTCACTGACCAGAACTTAACTGTGCAGAATTGCAAGGGAAGCTGGGCTTTTAGCTGAGCATACTGCCTCTCTAAATAATAAAGAAGAAAAGGAAAGGGAAAATGGACTATGGGATAGGTGAGCAGGAGACTACTATAGTTTTTGTTAACACAATTAATGTTTTACTGTGTAGTTTTACTGACTTTGATAGTATAAAATATTTAAGCTTTCAGAATTCTAGAGAAAGTTTCATAGTTAGTAAAATCAGTGGATTAACTTCACAAATCCAGGCATGGACCCAAGGATATTTATTGCTTCTTTTTTTTTTAACTGTATTTTTTTTTTGTCTTTTCTTTTTTGGTACTGGGGATTGAACCCAGGATGTTGCACTTGCTAGGTAAGTGCTTTGCCACTGAGCTACATCCCAGCCCCATTTATTGCTTCTTATATGCAAGAATGACAAAATAATCACCAACTCATCCTGTTGTCAAATCTCATGAAAGTAGTGGAGATTATTGAGCAACTTTTAAATTCTGGATCAATTTAAAAAAACTCATCTTTTCTGTTTTTAGGAGATCAATGAGTTATTAATTAAAGAAAAGATTATGCAACTTGCCCAGCAGAAATCACAAATCCAGACTCTTCAGAAGAGAGTGTTAAACTTGGAGAATGCTCTAACTTTCATGACTAGAGAGTTTGAGACAGAAATTTTGAAACTGCGGCAACAGGCAACCATAGAGAATCAGGCAGGTCTGGTAGAAATTGACAAGCTGCAGCAGGTTCTTGATATGAAGGACAAGGAAATGAATCGAGTGAAGAAGCTGGCCAAGAACATATTGGATGAGAGGACAGAAGTGGAAAATTTCTTTCTAGATGCTCTACACCAAGTGAAGCAACAGATTATATTCAGCAGGAAAAACTATAAGGAGTTAGCACAAGCTGCTTTCAATTTAAAGATGAGAACAGCATGTTCAGGAAGAACAGAATATCCCCAAATCAGGACATTTGATGGCAGAGAATACAGCACTAATAGTGTGAATCAAGATCTCATAGAGGCTGAAAAATGGTACTAATAACCCTTGAACACATTGCTTTTTTGTATTGCCTTTTAATGTCCTTTAAAGAAATAAGAACTCAGAATAAGTTCAGTTTGGTAATATCCAAATGTTGAAGTGATTTTTCAGTAAGTTATTGAGGTGCTATCTTACTCATCTTTGAAACCTCTATGTTTAACAGTTATGTGGGACTTGGTATGTATGTGTTTTTATTTTTTGGTTAGTCATGGAGCATAAACTTTGGGATTGGGTGCTGTCTCTGAGCTCTTTTGCTCAAGGCTAGCACTCTGCCACTTTGAGCCACAGCTCCACTTCTGGTTTGAGGGTAGTTAAATTGAGATAAGAATCTCATGGACTTTTTTCAGTCCCAGTGGCTTCAAACCACAATCCTCAGATCTCAGCCTCCTGAATAGTTCGGATTACAGGTGTGAACTACCAGCACCTGTCTTGTTTTGTGTTCTTAGTAGACACCTCTTTTTTTTTTGGGGGGGGTCCGGTTATGGGGCCTGAACTCTGGGCCTGGGTGCTGTCCCTCAGCTCTTCGGCTCAAGGCTAGTGCTCTACCACTTGAGCCACAGCGCCACTTCCAGCTTTTTTCTTTTTTGCTTATGTGGTGCTGAGGAATGGAACCGCTCTACCACTGAGCCACCTTACCAGCCCCTCTTTTTTATTTTTTTATGGTAGAAATTTGTTAAAGAAACTAAATTATTTCTACCAAAAGATGTCACTGTAGTATCTTTTACCAGCTCTAACTTGGAAAGTACTTATAAGTTAATTTCAGCTTAAATAATTTTTAGTAAGCATATGTTTTATTGTATTAGCTTTAATATCCTTGGATGAAATTCATAGGTAATATCAAAATTTTTTAAATGGAGTTTAATATTCTTTTTTTTTTAATTTGTTTTTCTCCAGTCCTGGTGCTTGAACTCAGGGCTGGGCACTGTCCCTGAGCTTCTTATGTTCAAGGCTGGCACTCTGTCACTTGAGCCACAGCACTACTTCTGGCTTTTTCTGTTTATGTGGTAATGAGGAATGGAACCCAGGACTTCATGCATGCTAGGCAAGCACTCTACCACTAAGCCACATTCCCAGCCCCAACAGTTTAATATTCTTTGTAGTAGTTTTGCAAAAATCTTTTGTGGGTTGGAAGATATTCAGTAATGCTCCTCCACATTGCTGCATTTCTCTCCCAATTTTCAAAATACACTAGGAATTTCCTGCCACTGTATAAAGGTAATAGAATGCTTGAGACAGTTGATGACTATCTACATTGATTAGTGTTTCCTGTTGTGTTTTGTTTGGTTAGGTTTGGTTTGGTCAGTTGTGCGGCTTCTTGAACTCAGGGCCTGAGTGCTGTCCATGAGCCTCTTTGTGTTCAAGGCTAGCACTCTACTACTTGAGCCACAGTACCACTTCCAGTTTGTTTTTTTTTTTTTTTTGTTGGTCGTGGGGCTTGAACTCTGGGCTTGGGCGCTGTCCCTGTGCTCTTCAGCTCAAGGCGAGCACTCTACCACTTGAGCCACAGTGTTACTTCTGGTTTTCTAGTGGGTTTTATTGGAGATAAGAGTCTCATGGACTTTCCTGCTGGGCTGGCTTTGAACCGTGATGCTCAGATCTCAGCTTCCTAAGTAGCTAGGATTACAGGCATGAGCCACCAGCACCCGGCCACTTCCAGTTTTTGAGTGGTTTATTGGAGATAAGGGTCTATCAGGGACTTTTCTTCCTAGGCTGGCTTTGAACCACTACAGATTGCAGCCTCCTAAGTATCTAGGATTACAGGCGTAACCACCAGAACCCATTCCTGTTGGTACTTTTGTCTCTTAACATAGTCTTTCCCCATCAACCACTAAATTATAAATTATATTTAATTATATTGTTTAAATTATAGTGCATCTTTTTTTGGGGGGGGTAGTCTTGGGGCTTGAACTCAGGGCCTGGTCATTGTCTCTGAGCCTCTTTTTGGTTAAGGCTAGCACTACTCTACCATTTAAGCCATAGTGCCGCTTCCAGCTTTTTCTGAGTATGTTATTTATTTATTTATTTTGTTGGTTGTGGGGCTTGAACTCTGGGCTTGGGCGCTGTCCTTCAGCTCTTCAGCTCAGCGCTCTACCTCGTGAGCCACAGTGCCACTTCCAGTTTTCTAGTGATTTATTGGAGATAAGAGTCTCACAGACTTTGCCCGGGCTGGCTTTGAACCACTATTCTCAGATCTCAGCCTCCTGAGTAGCTAGGATTACAGGCGTGAGCCACCGGCGCCCAGCTCTGAGTATTTTATTGAAGATAAGAGTCTCACAGACTTGTCTGCCTGGGCTGGCTTCGAACCAGGATCCTCAGATCTCAACTTCCTGAGTAGCTAGTATTACAGGCGTGAGCCCCTGGCACCTGGCTCTACATTTTGAAGATTATCCGAAAAAGTGTTTTTTCTAACTTAATTTGATTCTTAAATGGACAAGTTAAAAGGAAAACTTAAAAGGATTTCTTACTATTATTAACTCAGAATCTCTTTTCTTTTGTCGCAGTACCATAGCTTGAACTCAGGGCCTCACACTCTTGGTCTGCTTGGCTTGATCGCTTGCTTGCTTGCTCACAGCTAACACTCTACTATTTAAGCCATGCTTTCAGCCCAGCTTTTTGTTAATTAATTGGAGATAGAGTCTCACAGACTTTTCAGTCTGGGGTTGCTTTGAGCTATAATCCTCTGATCTTAGCCTACTGAGTAGCTAGAATTACAAGTGTGAGTCAATAGTACCCAGCTTGAATTTAGCATCTTAGTGTGTTACCAAATGCATTTTCTGAGCTGGGCGCTGGTGGCTCATGCCTATAATCGTAGCAACTTGGGAGGCTGAGGATCACTATTTGAATGCAGCTCAGGCAGGAAAGTCCATGAGATTCTTACCTCTAATCACCCAAAAACTGGAGGTGGAACTGTGGCTCAAGTGGTAGAACCTTGAGTAAAAAAAGCCCTGAAAAAACATCCAAGCCCTGGATTCAAACCTCAGTACTGGCACAACAACCAAAAAAGGCATTTTCTGTTTAATGATTATTGTTTGGTGCAGTGCTGGGGATCTAACCCAGGGCTTTGTGTATACTAGGTGTCAAGTGCTTTGCCACTGACCTGCATCTCTCCCATATATGTATTTAAGACAGGATCTCACACCAGATTGGCCTAGAACTCACTTTGTAGCCCAGGTTGCCATCAAATTTGTAATTCTTTTTTTTTTTTTTGGTGGGGCCTGAATTTGGGCCTGGGCGCTGTCCCTCAGTTCTTCAGCTCAAGGTTAGCACTCTACCACTTGAGCCACAGTGCCATTTCTGGCCTTTTCTGTTGATGTGGTGCTGAAGAGTTGAACCCAGGGCTTCATGCATGCTAGGCAAGCACTCTGCTATTAAGCTACATTCTCAGCCCTACTCAGCAGTCAATGTCCTATTGTATCATCAGAATTCTGTCACTGAACTTTATCTCCATTTACTTATTTATTTATAATTTCAGACAAGATCTCATTAAGTTGCTCAGGCTGACCTCAAACTTAAAATCCTTTGATATTCTTTTGAGAAGCTAGGATTACAGATGTTTGCCTCCACACCCCAAAAACGTTTATGTTATACAACATCAGTATTAACTTTTTTGTTGTTGTTAGTAGTGGGACTTGAACTCTGGGCTTGGGTGCTGTCCCTCAGCTCTTCAGCTTAAGGCTAGCACTCTACCATGAGTCACAGTGCCAATTCCAGTTTTCTGAGTGGTTTACTGGAGATAAGAGTCTCAGGACTTTCCTGCCTTGGCTGGCTTTGAACCATGATCCTCAGATCTCAGCCTCCTGAGTAGCTAGGATTATAGGGGTGAGCCCCTGACGCCCAGCTTTATATTAACTTTTTTTTTCTTTTATGTGGTACTGAGAAATCGAACCCAAGGCTTCATGCATGCTATGCAAGCACTCTACCACATTCCTAGCCTTCATTTTTTTTGGAGGGGGGGCGGGGTCTGGTCGTGGGGCCTGAACTCTGGGCCTGGGCGCTGTCCCTCAGCTCTTCAGCTCAAGGCTAGCGCTCTAACACTTGAGCCACAGTGCCACTTCCGGCTTTTTTCTTTTTTCTTATGTGGTGCTGAGGAATCAAACCCAGGGCCTTGAGCATGCAAGGCAAGTGCTCTACCACTGAGCCACCTTCCCAGCCCTCATATTTTTTAAAAAAATAGTAGCTTATGAAGTTTTGGAAAAAATTATTAAGACCTGCCTAGAAAGCTTAGCTAGAAATAATGTAGTTACAGCCTTAGCTAGAAGCACAAAAATAGAGCAGGGTCCCTTTGGCATGCCTATAATCCTAGCTGCTCAAGAGGCTAAGTTCTGGAGAATCATGGTTCAAAGCCAGCTCAGCCAGAAAAGTCTGATTCCATCTCCCAAAATAACTACCAAAAGGCTGGTGTAGAGGCATGGTTTAGGGGGTAGGGCACCAAACAAAGCAGGACTCTCTAAGTTTGAAGCCTTAGGTCCTGAGTTGAGCCCCTCTCCCCCTAATAACCAAATTTATTTTTCTTGTAAACTCAGGGTTTAGGCACTATCCCTTTAGCTTTTTCTTTTAGGGCTGGCAGTCTACTACTTGAGCCATAGCTCTATTCTGGCTTTTTGGTACTTAATTGAAGTTAAAGAGTCTCACAGACTTTTCCTGGCTTCAAACTGCAATCCTTCAGTCTCAGCCTACTAAGTACCTAGGATTATAGGCATGAGCCACTGGTGCCTGGCTATCTAAGTTTATCTTTTTCTCACTGTTTTCATAACAATATTTTATAGAAAAAGAAATGCCTGGGTCTGGGTATGTGGCTTAGAGGTAGAGTGCTTGCCTAGCATGCATGAAGCTCTGGGTTTGAGTCCTCAGTACCACATAAACAGAAAAAGCTGGAAGTGGTGCTTTGACTCAAGTGGTACAGTGCTAGCCTTGAGCAAAAGAAGCTCAGGGACAGTGCCCAAGCCCTGAGTTCAAGCCCCAGGACTGGCAGGAAAAAAAAATACTTTAAAATGCTTAAATGCCTATCAGTAATAACCAATGTTTTTTCTTTATCTTTGTGTATCTGGATATACAATGTTTCATGGCAGTTGCTTTTTTTGCTTAATTGTTTGAGCATAAATATTTTGTTACTTTGATCTTAATGATGACTATACTTTTGAAATGGCTAACATACCTTTTTCAAGTTTATGGTTGATATAGTTTGTTTTGTTATGGCTGACATTGTTTTCTATACTTTATGTATTCAGTTGGAGGAAATTTCTTCTGTATATTTTGTATTTTTTTTAAAGAAGAAAGGATGGTTTTAATTTTTCTTTCTGCTCTTTTTTCTTTTAAAATTTTCAGGACAAGTACTCAAAGAAATGTGGATATTGGAGATTTGACCTGGGAGCAGAAGGAGAAAGTCTTGAGATTGCTGTTTGCAAAAATGAATGGTTTAGCTTCTAGGTAATTTCCTGTTTTTGCAGTGAAATGCCAAGTTGTTATCAAACCTAAAAAACACATAGAAATAATGAACTGATTCTTACTTAGAACAAAAGGAAATACATAAAAGGGAAGAAAATATAAGGGTTTTATTGCTTTTCATCTGTAAATAAGCATGAAAACAAAAAATGATGTGAAAAAAGAGAAAGATTAATCTTAGATGCTGAGGGTAATGCTGTAAGTTATTAAATGTGCTTCCTACAGGAAACATAATAATTATGAAGGTTTATTCTTCTGCAAAGATAAATGAATCAAAAGAGAAAGGGGCAAAGGCAAAGCAGTAATTTACATATATTCCAAGAAATTCTTTGTTTTTTTTGGAACCTGTCCTGGGACTTGAATTTAGGGCCTGGGTGTTGTCCCTGGGCTTTTTTGCTCAAGCTAGCTCAAGTAGTAGTTAACTATAGATCAGACGTTCCTGCTTGGGCTGGCTTTGACCCATGATCCACAGATCTCAGCCTCCTGAGAAGCTAGAATTACAGGTGTCGGCTACTGGGACCACCTAGGGCCTCTCATTCTTTTTTTTTTTTTTTAATTTTTTTATTGTGAAAATACCATACAGAGGGGTTACAATTACATGGGCACGGTAATGAGTACATTTCTTACCAAGCATTGTTGCCTCCTCCTTTGTTTGGGGCGGGGGTGGGCAGTTGTGGGGCTCAGGTGCTGTTCCTCAGCTTTTCAGCTCAAGGCAAGCGCTCTACCACTTCAGTCACAGAGCCACTTTAGGTTTTCTGGTGGTTTATTGGATAAGAGTCTCAAGAAGTTTTCTGCCCAGACTGGCTTTGAACTTTGATTTTCAGATCTCAGCCTCCTGAGTAGCTAGGATTACAGGCGTGAGCCACTGGTGCCCTGCTTCTTGTTTAGCTTTTTCTCTTAGCAGCTGACACTTTACCATTTGAGCTACTTCCTGATTTTTGCTGGTTAATTGGAGATGAGTCTGTGAGATTTATCTGCCAGGGCTGTCTTTATACTGAGATCTTCAGATTTCAGCCTCCTGAATAGCTAGACTTACAAGGATAAGCCACTGGTGCTTAATTTAGTTCCTGTGTTAAAGCCCCTAACTTCTAAATTACACTGGGCCTAAACTCCATTGGGTAACCCTTATGAGTTCTGAGGTTGTTTTCATAGGATTGAAAGTTTTTTGGGTGTTTTGATCAGTACTTTCTTTTAACCTTGCCCTCCACTGTTAATCATTATGAGTACCTTCATTATATTCCTCTCTATGCATTTCTTTTCTTGTCGGTAGTACTGGGAGTTTGAACTCTTTTTATTTTGTACTTGCTAGACAGGTATTCTACCTACTCCATATTTTCTGTGTCTTGAGTTCAACAATTATATATATTAACCTGTCTAATATTGCATATCTATGTTTGTTTAAAAAATCACTTTGAAAATAAGTTCATCTAACAAAAGCATTTCTCTCAACACTATAAAGGGTATAGTTGGAAGACACAACATCTTTATTTTTGTTGACTTATCTGCTACAGGAAATATAACCAGAGTTCTCAGCCTCCAGTTCCAGATACTCATGTTTCTGACAATGGAGAAATGAAAGAATCTGGGTAAGATCTTGAGAACCTGACAATAATGGTGGTTGTAGACATTGACACATGCTAGATTTGACATGGAATAATATGAAAAGTCTTTGTTCTGAACCAAATTCCTGTTGGCAGCACTATCATTTTGTCATTACTGCAGGAATGAAAATACACAAGAGCAAACTTTCATCACCCAACAAGTTCCGCTATCAAATGCTGGTGAAATGGTGCTACCCCGTATTCCACAAGGACCACAGGTCTCTGACTAAGTAAGAACTCTTAATTAATCAAACAACACACATAATTGTTACCCTTCACTAGGCATCTTAGGCAATTTCACAGTGATTTCCTAGCTAGCCAACAGCTCTGAGGAATTGAGAAGAGTAATAGTACTAACGCAACACTACAGGAACTTTAAGAAATTGTGCATACTCAAGGCTTATTATACATAACATAGATGCATATCTGAACCACTGATGGTATAGAAAACTATAGTGTGAAGGTCTGGGAAGGTGGCTCAGTGGTAGAGCGCTTGCCTTGCATGCCTGAGGCCCTAGGTTCGATTCCTCAGCCCCACATGAGCAAAAAAAAAAAAAAGAGAGAAAACTATAGTGTGAAATATAGCTAGCCAAAATATGTATTACATGAACCTAGGGTCTTGTGCATGCCAGGCAGTCACTACCAGTAAGCTAAGCCTCAGTTCTTCTCTTATTTAACATAAACATAATGACCTTATAACTATTGTCTTTGGACATGAGTATAAATACGTCAAAATAATGTAGAGGACAAGTTAGGAAAGTACATAAGGAAGTATGATACCATTTTTTAGAAAGCCAAATTCTGTTTTTCTTTTTAAGGACTTTTATTGATAATCAATTAGTACAATGTAGAAAGAGAAAATTCAAATAAGGTCATAGTAGTTCAACAGAGAGATTAAAATCCTTATTTTTTAGTTGCTACCACCATGACTATAACTAGTTTTCTCCATCTAAGAAACAGTCAGGTGCTGGTGGCTCACCTGTAATCCTAGCTATTCAGGTAGCTGAGATCTGAGGATTGTAGTTCTAAGCCAGCCCTGGCAGGAAAGTCCGTGAGACTCTTATCTTCAATTAACTGCCAGAAAACAAGAATTGATTCTGTGGTTCAAAGTGGTAGAGTGCTAGCCTTGAGCAAAATAAAAGCTCAGCGACAGTGCCAGGCCCTGAGTTCAAGCCCCACGATTGACCAAAAAAGAAAAAGAACAAACTTCTGATGAACAAGTAGCTGGCCGAATAAGTTGATTCTGATTATAGTAACGCAATTTTGCTTAGTCTTTTTTTTTTGTGTGTGTGTGTGTGCGTGCCAGTCCTGGGACTTAAGTTCAGGGTATAGGTGCTGTCCTTGAACTTTTGTACTGTACTACTTGGAGTACTACTACTTTGTACTCTACTCCAGAAGTAAAGCTCTTCTGGCTTTTTGGTGGTTTATTTCTAATAAGAATCTCTTGGGCTTTCCCTCCTCGGGCTAGCTTCAAATTGCAATCCTTAGATCTCAACCTCCTGAGTAGCTAGGATTACAGGCACGAGCCACTGGTGCTGGCTTGATTAGTCATCTTTAAAAGAGTGAATTCCCTTAACTGTAAAGAAAATGTTAAGAGTCTTGTGATTGTTTAATTCAACTTGGAATTTAGACAATAGCCTTTTATTCAACCCAGACTAAAGTTATTGGATTGGATTAAAAAATAGCTATTTTATGAGCTAAAACAAAGGGCATTGTATTCTCAACTTATCAATTTCTATTGCCACTGTTAGAAAGGGCAGAAGAAAAAAAA